CCCGGAACATTTCAGTGTTCCTGCCAGTCCATATGCCCGCAGTACATGGTATCATTCTTGGGTGCCAGAAAAATAAAAGAAGTTAAGTGGCTTCAGAAACTAGTGAATGGCAAACATTACAGCATACTACACTGAATTGCATGTCCAGAGGCGATCATAGTTAATCAAATTACTCAGAGGTACCTTAGGAGAGTGCCTAGGTCATCATTTTCTAAGGAATAGCACTTTTACTAGGCTGTAAAGATGGGAAGGATTTGCCCTGCTTAGCACTGCTCTATAGCACAGGCATATTTATTTAGTAAGTAAAAGGGCAGTGAAAGGGATATGAGAATGTGTTGCACTTCTTTTATCCATAATTAAGGGGCTGTGAACCATTTGGGGACAGTAGACACATTTGGAATTTTAAGGAAAGTGCTGTGGGTGCCAGTAACAAAATGGCTACCATGCAGGCAGGGCATAACACAAAATGGCTGCCAAACGAGCACAAAGAAATGCAGTAACACAAAATGGTGCAAGCTTCCTCTCTCCTTCAATGGAAAAAAGGGCATCTACATCAGCTACTGCTGCAGTCACAGAAAGGAAGGTGGAGATTGCAGCTATACTACTGTAGATAATTGAGAATACTTTCTCCAAAAATATTGGCTTTCTGTTTCTTTCTTCGGCTATTTTTCTCATAACATATTTGTTATCCTGCCCTTTCTTCCATTCAGTATTGGGTCTCTATGTCATCATGAGACTCGGTTTTGTAATATGCTTGTAACTGCTGTCAGGACTGGGAATGACTTGGGAATGACATTGTTGATTCCCAGCATTAGCATTCATTTCAGATTCTGCAAAAGTCAAAAGTGTCAGCAACAACAAACTCATTTTGCTGCTTTATAAACATGGCATTGTGTTACCTGCCTTGTTGCGGTTATGACTTGAACGGACCCCTAACTATGAACTGAGAGACCATCCAATAATTAATGCATTTGATGACAGCTCCCATAATAGACAACTCAACTCTGTAAGCCCAACCTATTATAATAGCAAAGCATTATCTTATTTCCATTGCAAAGAATATTTCTTTTTTCAAAAAGAGAAATGTCACATGCCTGTCTACTTGTTCTAAACAACACACACAGAAAAGCTCCTGCATGATAAGTAGGCATCACAGTTTCACCTCAGAAGTGAAGTTCAGGCATTCTGCTATTTTTCAAATTGGAGGGCATCGGTGAAGGCAGTGAGTGATTATCCAACTAAGTCATATTGGAGTAGACCTATTGAAGTCCATTGACTTAAGTCCATGAATTTTAACGGATCTGCTCTGAGTATGACTAATGTTGAATATCACACTCTGTGCCCAAGACAAATGTGGTGTCCCTCCCTCCCACCCACCCAAAGATAAACACACACTCTAATTCTCCACACAGAAGCCACCAGACTGGCAGTCGACCATGACTTCAGCACTGGCAGGGGGACAGCATCCCCCACCACACCTAAGAGCAGTAGGCTATCCTAGGGAAGGAATGAGGAGCCTGTGGCCTTCCATATGTTGTGGACTCAAAATTTTGTAGGTCCCCAGGCCCCCCCAGAGATGGTGCAGGTGAGCCACACCCTCCAACGCCTCACTGCTGTTCCCCACCACCTCAACCATCTGCTCCCATAGCAGCCTCACTCCCCGCAATCCCCTGGGATGGAATTTAAATGAAATACATGGATGAAAAGTGTTACAATGTTTTGATGATTGGTTGTCTACTCTAAGGTCTTCTTCCAGAAAGGTAGAATGTAAACAAAGTACAAGATCCCCCACTATCCTAACCTTTTCTCCTTTATGGTGTAACAGAAAGGAAGTTGAGGAAGGGAATTCAGGGCTATTCTGGACAGCCTGTTTATTGAGCATTCATCCTGAATGCTTTCACAAAGGTTGCACAGAGGTTATATTTTGCTTCCACTCTTCATTGAGCATACATTCTGATTTGTTTTCAGGGATGTCATACGACTGAAAACTAATTTGTTTACAAAGAGGTTATAAAGTTTCCTGCCAAGCGATCACTATCCCACTTCTTGCCCATCACTTTTCTAACTGCAAAAAGTCAAAAAGTATGTCTGTTGTGGCAGAGCGCATGAATCCACTTCAGTTGTGCAACCTAAATTTCAGCTAAGCAACTGAATCCTTCCCACAAAATAGTGACAGCCTGGAGGAAACCTTCTGGATAGTTCAGGGTGGGGCATATTCTTCTTCCTGCTTGTCCCTTCTTCCCTAGGGTGGGGAAGTGTCTGGGAAATGTGAGCTGAGATGTTTCTCCTCTAATTTGCTTTGTAAGCTTTCTGGGTGTAGTACAACTGGAAGCCTTTCCCTCTGACTGCATCATTTATTGACCCCACAGCCATATTTTGTGATATTACACTGGTGCATCAGTCAGGAAAGGTATCTTAAATATATATTTACTGCTGCAGCAAGCCATTAAAGAGAGGCTGTGAGGGCGTCCTCCCCTCCTCTAAAAACCCGGGTTTTCATCAGTGACTGCCAATACTGATCAAGCTATTAAAATGGGGAACAAGTCTCAGAATTATCTTCCTTCACTGTACGCTCTGTTTCAGTAACAAAGAAAGGGGATGCATTAAAAGCTTAGAACTAGGCGCAGCACATGTTGAATATCAATGCTGAAACGTGATCCTGAGGAATAAGTGAAATAGGTGAAACAAACTTTCCTTGCATATTTCAGTGGAGAGAACCATACCCAGTTTCAGTCAGAACAAATAATTAGCTGCTTGTTTTGCTAAACTTATTTCTTTTGCCCCCTTCTACTCTGGGGCAGACATTCTGGCTAGAATTCTGTAATCAAAGTTGTCTGATGTGCAGAAGCCATTGGCCATTCCTCCAATATTAGGGCTGGTTTAAACATTATATTTAAGGGTGGTAGTGGCTTTAAATATTTCCATGTGGTGTCTGTTCAACTGTTTCAACATCCGTAAATGTACGACGCTGCCTTATACCAACTCAGAGCATTAGTAAAGTCACTGAGTGTGTGCCATGGCTGCAGCATGCTTCTCTCCTCTTTCTCTTACGCTGCATCCCTGTCAGGGCAGGATGCAGTTTTCCACCTCCCAAACCTGCTGTCTGGGGTACTTGCCCCCACCGTCCCCTCACTGGTAAATCTAGGTCTGCATCAGTAGCTCAGTAATGTCTACTGCAGGTACAACTCACCTTTTGAATGCAAAAGGTCTCAGTTCAATCCATTAAGTCCTACCTGAAAGCTGAAGAACTTCTGCCAGGGAGCACGGACAATGCTGAGCTAAATGAACCAGTGGTGTAACTAATGTGATTTCCTATGTTCCCAGCACCTTACACGTGCTCCTTTAAATGGATGTGCACAAGACTGAACATGGCATATAGACTTCGGTTCTCTTGAATTCTTGGGGGGTTAAGAAATCTGCAGAGCAGCAGGAGTGCACATGTCAATATCCCTCCCCCTACGTCCGCCATTGCACTGGCTCATCGCAGGCCTTTGCAAGGTGAATGGGGCTTCCACTGAACATGCTTAGAAGTCTTTGCGTGATCAGAAATCCTGATTATCAGGATTCCAGATCTTGCAGAGCCTTCTAAGCATGTTTGGTGGAATGTGCATAGAAGCCAGCTACAGGCCTTTATGTGCAACATGCAAAGGTCTGGGAGTTGCTGGCAAGCCTGAGCATAACCGATATCGCAGTACAGATGCTTTTGTTCTTCTGGGATTGCTAAGTATGGCCACTGATAACAGTATTAATTCATCTCCAAATAAGGAACAGAATATATTTTATTTTAACAAAATAAATGGGAATGGTTGCCATGGTAAAGACAGCTGTAGTCACAGAAGTTGATGTATTGATGTCGGGGTTAAGACTTTCTGTGCTACTGACAGTACAGTGATATAGGCATTGTCCGTGATAGTTTGTTATTTTCTTTATATATGAATAATGAAAGATAGATTAAAGGTTTTTTTTTTAAGCACTAATACTAAATCATGATTTAGTGCAAGGGTGGAGAGCCTCTGACCTACAAGCTAGTCTTGTCCCACCAGCTGATGAACAGTGTTATTGAACTACAATTCCCATGGCCATACTGGCTAGGAGTTGGAGTCTAACAGAATCAGAGGGCCATAGGTTTTCTATTACAGTGGTGCTTTGGTTCTCAAACTTAATCCGTTCTGGAAGTCCGTTCCAAAACCAAACGTTCCAAAACCAAGGCACACTTTCCCATAGAAAGTAATACAAAGTGGATTAATCCGTTCCAGACTTTTACAAACAACCCCTTAACATGAATTTTACTATTTAACGAGACCATTGATCCATAAAATGAAAGCAATAATCCATGTACTACAGTCACACAATCAATCAATCAGTAGCTGAACTGAGTTCCACACAGTCACAAAAACAAAAACAAAAGAGCCGCAAAAACACAAAATACCAGTAAATAGCAAAAACAGACAGACCTCAGTGTAACACTCAAAATGGAAGTGTGGCACTCAAAGCGGAGCATGTTTGGCTTCCAAAAAAAGTTCGCAAGCCGGAACACTTACTTCCAGGTTTGCAGTGTTTGGGTTCCAAGTTGTCTGAGTACCAAGGCGTTTGAGAACCAAGGTACCACTGTATATCATTTTCTATTATATTACTGTTGTTGTCAGTGCTATTTTTCTAGAAAAAGCGGTGCCAGAGCTCACCATGAACTTCTCCCTTGTTCTCTTAGAATGGCGCTAGAACCTACCTGAGAGGTGCCAGAACTGAGTTCTGGTGAGTTCAAGCTGGAAAAAAAAGCCCTGTTCCCTATCACAGGTGCCAACTCAGGCCAATTCAGCCCCCTCCCCCCAGTATGTGAGGACAAGGTTGAGCCCCCCACAATCTGGGGTGGGGGAGCCCTGTTTGTTGTTATTATTCTTATATTTATTTATACCTTGTCTTTTTCCCTGATGAGACTCAAGGCGGCTTACAGATAAAAATAACACCTGCTATAAAGTTGGAAAAAATAGGAATAATAAAAAATTATATATAATGTATGCATGTGTATATATATGTATATATATACACACACACACACACACACACACACACACACACACAGTGGTACCTCGGGTTACATACGCTTCAGGTTACATACACTTCAGGTTACAGACTCCGCTAACCCAGAAATATTACCTCGGATTAAGAACTTTGCTTCAGGATGAGAACAGAAATCGTGCTCTGGTGGCGCGGCGGCAGAAGAAGGCCCCATTAGCTACAGTGGTGCTTCAGGTTAAGAACAGTTTCAGGTTAAGAATGGACCTCCAGAAGGAATTAAGTACTTAACCCGAGGTACCACTGTATAGTGAGAGAGAGTACAGTGGTGCCTCGCAAGATGAAATTAATTCGTTCCGCGAGTTTTGTCATCTTGCGATTTTTTTCGTCTTGCGAAGCACGGTGTCGGGAAATTTTGGAAAAGCTTCAAAAATCTTTAAAAACCTCAAAAAAGGCTACCACACCACGTTCTATGAGTTGCTCCTCGAAGTCAAGTCGCAACTGTATTAACGGTGTTAAGAAAAAGGAAACAAACTTGCAAGACGTTTCCATCTTGCGAAGCAAGCCCATAGGGAAAATCGTCTTGCGAAGCAGCTCAAAAAACAAAAAACCCTTTCGTCTAGCGAGTTTTTTGTCTTGCGAGGCATTCGTCTTGCGAGGTACCACTGTATATACAGTATACAAGTGTCTCTGTCTTAAGTTTTGAAGTATTCAAGGGTATATAATGGCCACATTACAGCTGAGTAGCTGGCTCCGTTATATTCACCTTGCTCTGTACTAAAAATAATAACTCTTCAATTACTCATCCGTGTTCCTAGTTCTCAAAGGCAGGGTGAATGGCTGGCTGTTGCCTTAAAGCAGCCCTCCTCCCCTTCCTTTTGTTACCACTGGGTGATGTTTGTAGTTTTGTTTTTGCCCTGGGCCTTCCAACCATCTGGCCTTTGCATTCTAATCTTGCATTGCCATCAGTCACAGAGTGTCACAATAACTCACTTCCTGGGCTGGTGTTTGAGAGAAACTTGAATTCATTTCGGTTGATCTTTCACAACAGAGGCAGCTGGAATAAGTGCCGTTCCTTTGCATGTTGCATCCTCTTTCTTGTTTCTCTGCGAGGAAAGAAAACAAGCAGCCAGCTAGCTCTGAAGTTCTTACTCTGACCGGGTAGCTCTTGAAGTACTGTGTGAAATCACTTCTGAAGCAGCAGGTTAGAAACTCAAAGTACACTAAGCACATGTTGTATTTATTTAACTTTTCGCCTTCCACTTGACCTTGTCACCATCAGGGACTCTTGTTCTATGTTTTTCCCACCCCCTGCAAAATCTTGCAAGTTCTCCTGCTTATTCCCTGCTTTAAAAAGTCGCTCCAAGACATCAATGAAGGACGCAAAGCAAAAACAAAACAAAACCACCCGAACCACCAGAAAGTAAGCAAGGAGGAAGGTTGTCACTTTTACTCCCAAGGCTACTCACTTGGTATTCTCCAGCCTCCTCTAAGCTAGCCATCAATGCCACTATCAGTAAAAGTGAGAAATTGAGGGTTGCTGATGCTGGTATTTCTGCTTCAGCTGTTGTAATTTCCATTGCCCCAAGAGCCAGAGAACTTCTTCAGATGTCGAACTGTTAATTCTCACTGCAGAATACTCTGCCATGTGCCACTGCCAGGCACAGAGTTCTTGTCGCCCAAAAACGTAAATACTGAGCAACCATGATGAGAAATAAGCAATACACTTTTTACAGCACCATCCTAGGCATGACTACTCCAAAACAATGCCCCATCAAACTGAGTGGGATTTACTCCCAGAAAGAGCCAGTGTGGTATAGTGGTTAAGAGCGGTACAGTGGTGCCTCGCAAGACGAAATTAATTCGTTCTGCGAGTTTTTTCGTCTTGCGAGTTTTTTCGTCTTGCGAGTTTTTTCGTCTTGCGAAGCACGGTTTCAATTTTTTCAAAAAAATCTTCAAAAACCTCAAAAAAGGCTACCACACTGCGTGCTATGAGTTGCTCCCCGAAGTCAAGTCGCAACTGCACCTCTTCAAGCAATGCACCCTGTATTACTGTAACGGTTTTAAGAAAAAGGAAACAAACTTGCAAGACGTTTCCGTCTTGCGAAGCAAGCCCATAGGGAAATTTGTCTCACGAAGCAACTCAAAAAACGAAAAACTCTTTCGTCTTGCGAGTTTTTCGTCTTGAGAGGCATTCGTCTTGCGAGGTACCACTGTAGATTCGTAATCTGGTGAACCGGGTTCGCGTCTCCGCTCCTCCACATGCAGCTGCTGGGTGACCTTGGGCTAGTCACACTTCTCTGAAGTCTCTTAGCCCCACTCACCTCACAGAGTGTTTGTTGTGGGGGAGGAAGGGAAAGGAGAATGTTAGTTGCTTTGAGACTCCTTCGGGTAGTGATAAAGCGGGATATCAAATCCAAACTCTTCTTCTTCATCATCCGGGGCAGTTGACATGGTACAAGTACACCGCTATTCATCTCAATAGATGTTGCATGCTTCTTATTTTTCCCAAAACCTCCCAACGTGGGGCAAAAGAACACATGAAGCTGCCTCATATCGTTGATTTTTGATAAGAGCTGTTGGAACAGTCTCCCTCGGGAGGTTGTGGGTTATCCTTCGTTGGAGGTTTGTAAGCAGAGATTGGATGGCTGAGATTCCTGCATTGCAGGGGGCTTGACTAGATGAGGCATGGCCAAACTTGGCCCTCCAGATGTTTTGGGACTACAATTCCCATCATCCGTGACCACTGGTCCTGTTAGCTAGGGATGATGGGAGTTGTAGTCCCAAAGCATCTGGAGGGCCAAGTTTGGCCATGCCTGGACCAGATGATCCTTGGGCCCCTTCCAACTCTACAATTCTATGATTTGTCCATCTAGCCCATTATTGTCCACTCTAAGTGGTGGTGACTCTTTGGGGTCTCAGACAGAGATCCTTCCTATCATCTGATGGAGATGCCAAGGATTGAACCTGGGAGCTTCTGCATGAAAAACATGCACTCAACCACTGAGCTATAGCCCATCCTCAGTGTGGTGTACACCCATGTGGTGTAGTGGTTAAGAGCAGTAGTCTCGTAATCTGGTGAACCGGGTTCGCGTCTCCGCTCCTCCACATGCAGCTGCTGGGTGACCTTGGGCTGGTCACACTTCTCTGAAGTCCCTCAGCCCCACTCACCTCACAGAGTGTTTGTTGTGGGGGAGGAAGGGAAAGGAGAATGCTAGCCGCTCCGAGACTCCTTCGGGTAGTGATAAAGCGGGATATCAAATCCAAACTCCTCTTCTTCTTCTTCTTCTTCTTCTTCTTCTTCTTCTTCTTCTTCTCCTCCTCCTCCTCCTCCTCCTCCTCCTCCTTCTCCTTCTCCTTCTCCTTCTCCATGTCTCTTAGCCTAACCCTATCTTGTAGGGTTGTTGCAGCAATAAAGTGGGAAGGGGCATAACATGTATAAGGAGAAGAATGCAGTAAATAAATAAAATCCTTGGAAATGTCAAGAGTTGAATTTTGTTTTCATCAGAGGCCAAAAAACTGAAGAAGTTATGACAGCAGAAAGGGAAGCTGTCAAAGGAGCTCTAGTGTGTAATGGGGGGGGCATGGGATGTTTTTGAAGAAGAGGAAATGGCTTTGCATTTACTTGTCAACATGCAGAGTGGCTGAATTGCTCTGGACTCATCTAGTCAAGAAAGGACAATGTACTTTGGTGAACGCTTGAAACTAGCATCTCTCTTGGCTACAAATCAGCCTTGGAAAATAATGCACAGCCAAGCAGCTACAGAGTGAGAAATGTCGAACTGCATCAGGCTCCTTCCTCACAGTGATTAATGCGGCTGTCAAGCATTTACCCTGACTGGTACTTTGGGCCAGTTAGGATGGTAACTGTGGCTAGATCAAGTTTTCTTCCATTTTTACAGCAAGTGTACTGGGAGTTAAAGCTGCTGTGCCTCTCTCTTTTTGCTGCAACTCGAGAAAAGAAAAACAACCTCACATTGCCAAGCCTAGGAGAGATCCTGAAGAGTAACAGCCTAAGCTTTTCTGACAATTATGGACCCTTATTCACATGGGCATACAACAAAGTGTAGCATCATGCAAAATAGTTATTGTCTCTTTTTTCCAGTCAAGGTCATAAAAGAGAAGGCCTATTTTCGTGTAGCCACCCTCCGAACCTCATGATTGGTTAGCCCAGTCTAATGGCTGCACCAGCCCTGAAGTGGCCCAAAGTCACCCATAGCTAAGTGGTGATTTGACAAGCTGGAACAGAGGAGAGCAACCAAGATGATCAAGGGTCTGGAAACTAAGCCTTATGAGGAATGGTTGAAGGAGCTGGGTATGTTTAGCCTGGAAAAGAGGAGACTAAGAGGAGATATGATAGCCATCTTCAAATATCTCAAGGGCTGTCACGTAGAAGATGGAGCAAGCTTGTTTTTGTTGAGAATTCCATTCCTCCCGAACTGCAGATGTTTACATTCCAGCACTGATTATTGGAGTCTTGTGAGAGGAAATTGAGATCTGCTGTTTCCACTCTGTATAGCTTTTGCTTTTGCAGTTCTCTCTCCGAGGAAGAAAGACACAGAGAGAAGCCATGTTTTCTTCGTTCTGTTACATTTGATTTAATTTGAAATAAATTAGGCTTAGATGTTACTCCTCAAGGCTGAGCTTTTGTTTTGAACTCTGCTAATTGTGTCCTCATATCCCTGGATACAGGCCACATCCACGTGACGGGAGACCGGAGAGATGACCCCAGCGACGCTGCATTGGGGGGAGGCACCAGGCCTCAGCGTTATCACCCAACAATTGGTTATGGGCCCAGAACACTTCTGCTGCACCACTCTTTCTGCTCTTCATGGTAGGACTCGAATCAAGGGCTTCGAGTTACAAGAAAGGAGATTCCGACTAAACAACAGGAAGAACTTTCTGGCAGTAAGAGCTGTTTGACAGTGGAAGAGTCTCCCTTGGGAGGTTGTAGACTCTCCTTCCTTGGAAGTTTTAAAGCAGAGATTGGGTGGCCATCTGTCATGGATGCTTTAATTGACATTCCTGCATTGCAGGGGCTTGGACTAGATGACCTTTGGGGTCCCTTCCAACTCTACAGTTCTATGATTCTATGAAACCTGGGTGGAATATACACACATATAAAAACATTGCGAAAATGCTTTTTTTACATTTTGAAAAATAAATTGAATTTTGCATAGCTCACTGTTGCCATCTAGTGTCACATTTGTATATTGCACTTTGCAACACATTTCAAACGTTTTATTTGCGGCTGTATAGCTGAGTCCCTGGTCTCCCAGGTCCTAGTCCAACAAGGACTACATCACGCTGGCTCTCTCAATAGCTCCTTGTAAAATTGGTATGGCATTTTAAAAGGGGAAGACATAGGAAGCTGCCTTATGTAGAGATTCAGACCATTGCTCTTGCTCAGTATTGCTAACATCAGGGGGTGGGGATCTTTTTTCAGCCCCGGATTACGTTTCCCTCATAGGATGCCACGAGGTCATGGACTGGCTGGATGCAGGAGAGTGATGGAAGGCACCAACTTGGGAACTCCCAAGGGGAAGAAGGCTCAGAGCCCAGGGACTGGTGGTGGGATGACGATGAGTGATCAGAGGGAGAAGAGGAAGCAGACTTGGAGGAGGAGGAAGCTGAAGAGGTAACAAGGTTTAATGAGCAGGAAGTGGCTATGGCAGAGAGCAGTCCAGAAGCAGAGGCAGAAGCAGAGGCTGGAGAGGAGCTGGGCCAGGAGGCGGAGATGAGTCAGGGTGCTGAAGAAGCCAGGGAGTCTCCCCTTCCTGCTGCAACCAGCTCTCCTCCCCTCTCGTCTCCCAGAACCTGCAGAAGGTGGAGCAAAAACAGACATGGCAAAGGAATATCAGGTTGCTTGGGGAGGACTTAGAGAGCTGTGGGAAGGCAGGGACCGTCAGTCCCCACCACTGCCTCACTGGGGCAAGACCTGCTGGGAAGAGTTGCTGTGCTCACTAGGTTTTTTTTAAATAAAAAGAAGAGTTAACTTCATTGACACCTTGGGAGTTATTGCTCACCTGCTCCCGACTCCCACCTATACAAGGTCAGACCCCTGGGTACAGTGCCACAAACGCAGACAGCTGTGCATGGCTTTCCAAAAATGTAACATACATTAGAGAAGTTGAAGAATGTTTTCTCCTGTTTCCTGAACACAGCATGCTTGCTGCTGCAGAAGAGGAGGAGAGAAATTCATGGATAGGCAAAGGTGGAGCAGATGTCTGATGTAGTGTTTAGGCCTCAGGGACTATCTAGTGTGGGGGAGCCTGGCTCCTTCCATGTTTTAACTGCATCTCTGAGTGGGATGGGGACAGATAACCCTGTCCAAGGGCAACTAATTTTTTTGCAGAGAAGTACAGGGAGAAAGCAATCCAAGTGTAAAATGATCAGCACAATTCTGTGCCAAGACTTAAGGTACCTTTTTTGGCTGGAGAAACCTGAGGTTTTAGGCCTTGCTGAGAAGTCAGAACAAAAAACGAAGCAAAATCTTGAAATAAGGGGGAAAGAGAGAAGCAAAGACAGTATACTATCAGTTGTGTACACACTCCCGTTTACTCTGCATTCAGTGTGCTCCCACCACTGGTATGTGAAGCCATGCACACAAGACGCTCACCACGATCTACATTTAGACTGTAGTTTCTTGAGAAATGCTACATGTTGATGTGTTTCCCTCCGAACCAGCTTTGATCTGATTTGAACAATCTCACTGCATTTTAAGCCTGTAATGTGTAGACAGCTGAGAAGCAGAAAAGAACCAGAGTCACTTGTGGGGTAAAAAGAAGAACTTTTGGCTCTTTTGGTTCCTTTCTACAGATTTATAACTCACAGGGTGATGTTCCCTTTGTAAGCTTCATCAGATTTAAGAGAGACTCTTTAAGGCTTTAAAGTTATAATTAGCTGCCTATGTTCTTGCTATTGGGGCATATAATATAATAAATTTGAAGTGGGATTTTTTGTTCCCACTGTACTTTACCATGTGTCTTATTTATCCCCACAAACTTCTTCCACCCTTCACCAGAGTAAGGAGCCTACTTGGAGGGCTGAGAAGGCAATTTTTTTCTCAAAAGTGTACCTGTCAAGGACCATGCTGAGAAGGGCTGCACTGAGGAGGAATGGTGGGAGCCTCCCTTTCCCCCACTCCTGATCAGGATCCAGAATCTTCCCAGGAGCAGGAGGACAGTATAGATTTGGAACAGTGGTTTGCAGAGGGGCATAGTTCAGAAGGCAGAAGCTGGGAAATACTGGATGGGGACCAGCTAGGAGAAGAAACACTGGGAGAGAGAGAGTTAACAGATTCACTGTCTCTGGAAAGCATTTCTCCACTCTCCCCAAGGTCAAGAAGAGCTCAGAAAGTGGCAGAACAGAAAGCACACAAAGCACAGAGGGTACAGGCTCAGATTACAAGATGTAGAAGTGACATAGATTCATAGGGACGTAAGGAGATGGGATCCTTAATTGGGAGCACCACCATTTCTTGGAGATAATATAATAATATAATAAATTTGTATCATGCCCTCCCCAGCCAAGGCCGGGCTCAGAGCGGCTAACATCATAAAAACAACACAATATGCATAAAACAGACATCAATTAATTAAAATACATCTTAAAATTAATTCAGAGAAGTTAAAATCTGGGCAGGTGGCAATTATCAGGTTGGAATTGAGAGTGGTTAATACTTGCCAGGACCAAGTGTTTCCACTGATCATACAAGGACCTGTGAGCAGGTTGGGGCCTCCCTCGGACTTGTTTTATACAAAGGAAAGTAAGTCAAACTGCATCCTGCCCAAAGGCCTGGCGGAACAGCTCCGTCTTGCAGGCCCTGCAGAAAGATGTCAAATCCTGAATGACCCTGGTCTCTTGTGGGAGAGCGTTCCACCAGGCCGGGGCCACGGCCGAAAGAGCCCTGGCTCTAGTCAAGGCTAGTCTAATTTCCCTGGGGCCCGGGATCTTCAAGGTGTTGTTGTTAGCAGACCGTAAGGTACTCCGTCGGGCACACCAGAAGAGGCGGTCC